TATGACCTGAAGAGGGAACATGTTCATTTTTATGCTTTTATCCACATGGAAGATTTTTACCAAAATGCTGACCAGCGACAACATAGAGCCGGGAGAAAGTGTTCGCCTCCTTACAGATTTCCTTTTTACGTCACACTTTCATGTTTCACATAATCATATAAATACTGGATAAAGGTAACCTGAGTAAATATAAGCAGTTTTCAAATGGTGATTTCATTCAATAAGGGGAAAAAAGTCTCAAGAACCAACCTGGGAGAAAGTAATTACTCCTCTTTGTTACATCATGAAATGACCTGCAGAAAATGTTAAAAAAAAAATTAAACATAATCTCTCTGATGACTGTTAAATCTCAAAAAGCAACACATCATCTAATCTGGGATTTGTCCCAAGCCATTTCTAGCCATTTGTGATGCTAATGAGTTAAAGTGGCAGCCATAATCACCTTTTCACATCCCTAAGTGCGACGCATCTTTTCTTAGAAATATGTGCAGACTTATTACTTTCCTCTGTAAAACTTTTGTTGTTGAGGCGTAATATTTAAAACCCCTTCATGTTTCCTTAAGCAGCTGTTCTCTTTTTGATAGATCATCTAATAACTTCCAACTTCCACAGGCTCGTAGAAATGTCACATGAGACCCAGTGAAGACAAATGTCCAGCCAAAGTATCACCGCGCTTTATTACCGTGACCATAATCACACTGCGAAGCAACATTCACATATTTATGAAAATACGACACAGTTCAGGCCATTAAGCAGCGCGGACAGGATTACGAAAGCATCAGCACTTCAGATAAAAATTCTGCTTTTTATTCCAACGGCATCATAAGCAGCGATAATAAGCAGCATTTTCACACTTCGCATGCGCTAGCTGCCATTTACTCCAGAGGCAGGATTTTCTTTAAATGGCTCTTCAACTTACAGATTTCCTGCAAAAGAAAATATACGTTAAAGGAAAAGTGAGGAAAACATGACCGGCTTCAGGTTTTCACTTGTTCTTCACTTCTTTGCCCCGTCAATCAAGATGAAATTACTAGTCAATCAAATGCTGCCATTTCTCTGACTCACCAGCTGAACATGGATTATTAAGGCATCTGAATCTTTTTTTGTTGCTTAGTTTGGTCAACCTTTTACTAAATGCACCAAAATGTATTATTTGTGTAGAAAATAATACATTTTATATTAATTGGAAGTTTTTTTTTCTTTTTCTCTGTGGTGTGCTTATTAACTAATTGTGGTATTTTTAAAAAATAATTGAGCATATTTTTTACTGCTGGTTCCATTGAGATGATATTTTATCTCTTCATCTCAGAGTTACAGCAGGTGCAGCTGAAGCAGATTCCTGCTTTTCTAAAAGATCAGATATATTTTGTAAAGGACATTTCAAATTGTCCACTTTTAAAATGACGTTTCCTGTTACTGAGCGTGATGTTGCCTGATCAGTTCTCAGGCTGCTAAATCCTCTTCGTGACTCTGCCTCCTCTTCCTTCCACCACTTGATCTCTTTTTATCTTCTCCTTCACTTCTGTCAGGTTTTCTGCCGTCTTGTCTGCCATGTTCAGAGAATATTAAGTGGAGGGTTTGCCATCCAGGGGACTTTGGGGAAGACGGAAACACAGAAAGTAGCTTTAGGTTGTTTTTTTTATGATTCCAGTGAGATACGCTGAAGGGGTTTTTGACGAATCAAAAAACATTTATATAAATAATGTCACTGTGACCAACGACATCGATCATTATTGGTCGACATGCATGTTTTGCTCTCCATAAAGACTCCTGAGGATTTCTTTTCTCATTAAAAACTTTTCCTGGCATTTCTTAAACCATCTCTGACATGAACTGGAGACAGAAGAATGTAAAATTAGAAAAAAACAGAACAAATAGAATAATTATTTCTCTAAAGCTGTATGTATATATGCATGTTTGAGACAAATACACTGATCGAAAAAATGTTTCAAACAAATGCAACATCTACAAATGTTGCCTCTCCACAGTACAAAGCAATGCTAAATCATACCATAATCTCAGACGAATAAATAATTACACCCCAGAATGTCAGTGGTAACACACACACACACACGCACACACACACACACACACACACACACACACACACACACACACACACAGGTTCATCAGAGTGTTGATGGTGAGCAGTACGACAACTGAAAATCATAAACGCTGCTCTTGAACTCAAAAAGTAAATGTTTAGAACATTTGTACCATGTTTAGGTGAAATCTTTGCTAAATGTACTGTTAAAGTTGCTGCTGGACTCTTTCCTATTACACCGCATTTGTTGGGACAATGAAAATCTTGAACCTGAAGATCTGCAGCATATGATGTGTGTCAGTGTCATAGAATGAGTGTGTTTTGGGATTGACTTGGTGCCGTCAAGACAGTAAATTACTTTTATTTATTTGGAGATGAAGGTTTAATGGTTTTTACAGTCTGAGTGCACCAAAGTTGTGAAATAGTTGTTTGCTAAATTAGTCAGAAAATAATGATTCTATTATAATGTCAGCTTCATATAACTGTCAGCATGTGAAAGTGGATAAATCCTCATCAATGTATGACAGGTTGCTGCATCGAGTCAACAACTCGATGCAGCAACCTGCTGGGTTTCCTTGCATAGAAACGTTTCTTAAAGGGACAGTATTATGTATTTTTCATGCACATGGCACCATTTCATACCACAATCAAGTAACTATGTCAACTCCAGCTGTAAACAAAAGGATATATTCTAGCAAATATGACTTTTAAAAAATGACTTCTGTCTCTTTAAGAAGCTTCTGCTCCCTCTGAAACTCCGCCTTCAGGAAGTCATCACAACATGGCTCCTCTATTAACCCTTTAGAAACGTTTTTAGAAGTAGCTCCTGTAATGAGCTCAGCAGATGTGCAGTTCTACCATCTGCTAATTGCTGCTGGCTAGTCTGAAGGAGCCGAGTGGGGGAGTCTTGCCAGAGGGCTGCTCTGAGGAGGAAGCTTGGAAACTGCAGCTTTGAGGAGGAGCCTCATCCTCGAAGGCGGAGCTATGTCCACCCAGGCTTTTAGCACAGCTGAATGGTTACCATGGGAGATTAAAGGATTTCTCAAACATGCATATAAATAAATGAAGTTGAATTTGTTTTGGCATGCAGACTTTGCTTGCTTGGTGGTTGTAACATCCTACCTTATATTGCCAAATATATCAAAGCAGTCTTTTCAGGTAGCAAAGTGGAAAAAATCTATCAATTTGATGATTACAAATCTATATATTGTGCAGATCAACTAACTATGTGTGCTGTAGAAATACAATATATGCAATAATGTGATTGAGGATCTACATTCCTGTTGAGACAAAACAGTGAACCAGACATTGACAAAGCAACAAACAATGGAGTCGGTAGGAACAAAACAGCTGTATGTGATTTCAGAAAGATGGAAAAAGGCAATAAGAGGTTCAGTGAAACAACATAGTGATGGCAAATAACTTAATAAAGCAGCTGAATGAGGGCTAAAATGGCAGCAATGCGCATATGGAGAGAGGCACACGAACGAAATCTGATAAAGGGCCGCAGGGCTTACAAAACCCAAACAAATTACTGCACCTTTTCATACAATAATTGCTCGAAGGTTGATCCGTTTAAGTGGAAAAAATGACAAGCTGTCCTCCCACTTACTCTGAACCATTTCCCACGACAGAGACATTCTGCTTCATGATTCTAAATTACACATAAAAACGCTGCATTATTTCACTGTCAGTTATTGCTTCCTGTAGTCTTTGATTCTCGGGCTGCCCAGGCTCATACAGATGACAAAGCTCCGCGGTATTCAGTGTCCTGTTGGAGATACTGAAAGTGAGCCGTCTTTGACCGTCTTGTTCCCAGTAGCGAGTCACATTTTCAGTCTGCCAGAACTGAAGATCTCCAGCCTCCACCCCGAAATACTTCCACTCCTTTTATCCTCCACGCTGGTGTTTTCTTTGTTATGGAGCTGATAATGAGAAAACACTAGGGGGGCAATTGCTCAGTTTATCCTGTTGATGTCATGTACAAATTCCTCACGTCATACAAAACCTCTTGGCAACACAATATCTGATTAGGTTTAGCCAAACTAATCTGCTGATGTAGGAGTTTTGGTATAGGAAACCAAAACTCCTGAGTTTTGGTTTGAGTTTGAGATGAGAAAATATAATTAATTGACACCATAACAAACAACAGGAGGCATTCCCACCCTCTAGTTTTACTTCAGGAAAACAAAATGGAAGGTAAAAAAAATGGTAGGCAGTGGACAAAAATGAAAAGGGAACTGTTGTGGTCACCCGATCCCTCAAAGGAAAGGCCAATGAAGAACAAATTTTGAAAGGGAAATTTGATACAAATTGCTGTCTTTGTCAGGAGATTTTAAGTGATGATGACTCAATGGCTACTCTCCCAATGCTAGATTTTCTTTTCTGTGTGAGTAAAAAATGTAATCTCAAAGTTGTCAATCTTTCGTAGGAGGGTTGCAAAGGATCACATGTGCAGCTGCAAGTATTTTTGTGTCTGTCTCTGTCAGCCTTACACATTCAGGACATTGTCTGTGTGAAATAGCTCAATTTCAATCAGGTTGGATAGAGTGAACATCTGTTTTCATGTCTTGCCACATATCAGTTAGATTTAGGTCTGGGCTTTGAATGGACCACTTGAACCCATCAATATGTTTCAATCTAAACCCTTCCAGATCAATTCATGTAATCCATTCATCTTCCCGTTTACACCAACTAGTTTCCGATCCTTCCTGATGCGCGGAATTAGTTTTCTGCCGAACGTAACTTTGTGAAAACTAGGTCAACATCTTCTATTTAGGTCTCATCTGACTGGAGCAACTTTCTTCCACGTTTGCTTTCACCCCAACTTGACATGTGCAAAACTGCCTCGACTTCGCAAGACTTTCTTTCAAAAATTATTGCTTTTCCCACCTGAGTATTGAAGCTTGAATTGAAATTTTCTGACATTTTCTTCTGCTTCCTTCCCTCTCTGCAGGCATCTCAATGCCGATTCCCGTGCTGGGACTCAGAGACCACTCCAAAGTGTTTAAAAATGGAAACTGCCTGCTGACAGACGACAAGTTTGTTCTGGTGGGTTCCTTCATCGCCTTCTTCGTTCCGCTAACCATCATGATTGTCACCTACTTCCTGACCATCCATGCCCTGCAGAACGAGGCCACGCTCTGCTTGGACCAGCTCGTCCCGCGGCCCAAATGGAGCACCACGTTCACGCTGAGCTTCTTCCCTCAGAGCTCCCTGTCCTCCGAGAAACTCTTCAGGCGCTCCATTAGCCGAGAGGCCGGTGGGAGAGGAAGCGCCGGTGGTCTCGGCGGCACCCGGGAGAGCATCTCCGGGTCGGTGTTCGGTCGACGCACCATACAGTCCATCAGCAACGAGCAGAAGGCGTCCAAGGTGCTGGGAGTTGTGTTTTTCCTCTTCGTGGTCATGTGGTGCCCGTTCTTCATCACCAACGTGCTGATGGTCGTGTGCCACCAGAACATTTGCCACCCGGAGGTCATGGAGGGTCTGCTGAACATCTTTGTCTGGGTCGGGTACTTGTCTTCGGCCGTCAACCCGCTGGTCTACACACTTTTCAACAAGACGTACCGCACAGCTTTCATGCGGTACATCCGCTGCCAGTATCAGCCAGAGAAGAAGCCTCTCCAGCTCATACTGGTGAACACCATCCCGCCTCTGGCCTTCAACTCCACCCAGCTGCCACTGGGCGACATGGGGAGGTTACGCAACGGAACGACGCACGGTGAGACGGAAGGACGGGAATTCTCCCTGCCAGGGAAGGAAACGGAGAAGTGCAAACAGGGCAAAAGCCAAAGAGACAAAGACGAGAGCAGCGTGTGAGGAATATCAAAGAAAACCCTTTGATAGAGGCAACTCTACACACGTAAGACAAAGGCCTAGACTTCATCTGTTTGGTCTTTTTGAGTGAAGTGTTTGTTTGCTGAAGGTACAGAGACTGTCCCTACCAATTCAAAGTGTAGAGAGTTGAAATCTTGTTGTCGTACCAATCAAAAAGGCACAAGACACTTATTGCATTTTTAAAATGTTCTCAACAGCTTCAGTAAGTGCACAATACTAACATTTGATCAATCGACAAGACCTGGAGCAACTGAAGTAAAAGTTCATTTTCCAAAATGACGATTGCAAATTCAAAATTTCAATTTTAAATCTCGCTGATTTCTAATTACAAACTTCCACTTAAAGGAAGAAATTTACTCTTAGCCACTCGGCCACAACGAAAGATGTCACTTTTACAAAAAAAAATAAAAAAGTATTTTTGTGTAATTTCTCTTCCCTTGGGCACTCACCTGCAGTAAACCCAGCAGCTCGTTCACTCTGCCAGCTGCCTGGCATCCCACCTTCCATCAAACTGCACCTCTGGGTGGATCAGAGGGGATTATATTGGATTTGCTCCCACTTCGAGGAACGAAGGTGTCAGAGAGGGAAAACCTGGCACACCTTGAGTCAAAACACTCACAAAGATCAGATTAAGCTGCCAAAAAAGAAGAAAACTTTCTGCCTCTGTTTTGTTGAAACTCTGTATGAATAACGTTAAAAGGTTTATATTTTCAAGCGTGAAGATGATTGTTGCATCGTATTGCTGATATGAAGACTGCAAACTGAGATTATATAACAGCAGGAAATGAAGAGGGTTTAAATGTTGATGTATCCCCTTGTAAAAGTCACAGCTCATATTGTGTTCTTACCAAACTATGGGTGCACATTTTGAGTTGTTTCAGTCATGACACATTGTGTTCAGTGCTCTGATAGGTGGCTACCACATGTGAAAACTTTTGTATGAAAATCTGTGAATATGGAACTGCTGCGAAAGACTGAATTAAATGACTCGATGATGCAGGATGTGGAGTCCAGGCCAGAGTTGGACATTGTACATCATCTTCTGGGACTTGAAGCTACGTCAGCGTAGCAGGGCCATTGTAGATAGAAAAAAGGAGTACATTTCCTCCAAAAAAAAGAGAAATTTTGACCTTGATCTTAGATATTCTGTAGAAAAAAACTTTGAAATTTGAATTTGAAAAACGGAAAATTGGCTGGGAAAACAAATCTCAGAAAATTTGAAATTAATCTCAGAATATATTTTTATTTATTTAGAGAAATAAGAATATTCCTATGCTTGAAAAGTCAAAGATTTGCTAAAAAAAACTAAAATGTTTAAATTGATCTGAAAAAAACTCCATGTTTTTCAAATAAAAAAAACAAAAACAGGAAATTTTTCAGCATCAAATTTGAACATTTTTGACATTTCAAACTTAGAAATGTCCAAGATTTTACTTGAAAATTATTAAATTGATCTGAAAATTTTTGGCAGAAATTTACTTCTTTATCTTTTTTATCAACAATGGCCCTAACATGCCATTGAATAAAGCAGAACTGGGTTATTTTAATAGAAATATGTTATTTTTATATTATTAAAATTGTCAGAATGTCTTGGAAGCACTAAAAATTGAGTACAATATGGGAAAGTGAAATCAAGTCCTTTAGCTTATTCTTCTGCTTGTGAAATAAAGAGCAGGAGTCGACAATGTGAGACCAGCCAGTGGCAGGAAGAACCTCTTTGTGACCAGCAGCGAACACTGCCATTTGTACAATTGCTATGGTTACTTGCCCACTTGTGAATGACAGCCTTCTCTACAGAGAGGGTCTTAATAGGCACAGATGAGAGGAGGGGGCTCAGGGACATAAAAGCTATCATTTTTGTAAAACCTTTTTAAGATTTCATGCTCTGCTGTTTTTCTTAGCAGACAGATGTCATATCACAGCGAGTTTGTGGAAAAGTGAATAAGTCCTAAGAGGTCTAAAAGGCTGACGGCTAGTCAGACTCTCATAGCTGATTTTAACAATTTAACTGAAACTCTTCCTATCTCTGAGATAAAATACTATACTGACAGATATTTACTGTCTATACTTTAAGAAAATAATGTCAGGATTGTGGCTGTTTTCTCAGCTTTACAACTTCCATGTTACTATGTTAAAGTTATGTCAATAGCAGCTTCACAATATGTCAATCATTAGGTCTGCTGGAGGAACAAGCCACGAAACATTTAAGCTAACGTGGCAGATTGTTAGCGTAGTAACAGGGATGCTGTTTGGTAGAGGAAACAGCAACATTTTTTTGTTTTTTTGCAAAAAGCTCCTGTGAAATGTTAGACAGTTATTAACTCTAATGTAAAGTTGAATTCAGTGGGTTTGGACATTTTCAGTTCAAGTTGCTTCAGATTGGTAGCATGAAAGTGAACGTAGCTGTTAGCCTTCCAGCACTCGATGATTTATTTAATTTTCCACTAACTATTTCTGAAACGAACACAAGAAATCCCATTTCAGAAATTCTCTGTTTCGATAAGACGTGGCCAAAGTTTAATGCTAGATTTTTAGAAACAACTTGCTCACCTCACAGAGATTAGCTAGCTACCAGAATCTGCTCCATCTGACTTCCTTGACTGTTCCCATGTCAAATTCACATCAGTTGAAGGTGACATGTTAGCTTTTATTCACTTTGCCTCAACAAAAACGTGTAACTTTTTCTTTTGTTTGCTTCTTTGCAAGTTACAGGGTCATGAATGGGCATGAAGTCGTTCTATCGTAGAGTTGGATAACTCAAAGACCTTTCTCCACTTCAGTAAAAATCATTTACTGTCAACTGATCACTTCACTCTGTGTCCAGCTCTCAAATCGACCAGGACGTCAGGAACCTCAAATACTGGGAAATAAAAGCATAAAAGACAATCTTTAGATAAATTAAAACATGTCTTAAATAATGTGAAAACCACATAACTTTACATTTTGGAACAAGGCACAAATTGTTTGTTCAGAAATGACCAAATTAGCAGGTTATGTCGAATGGCTAACATTAGGAAGAAGGAAAGCTGTGAAAAGTAATATGTTACAGTGAAATGTGTTAATAAAATACATTCTTAAATATAGTTAGGAGATATTTTCTCCAAATTAACAGTTTTTAATTCATGACTGAAAGTTTATGGATGTTTTGTTTTTTCACATACTTTACTGCTTTGGTAATATATATTTTCTTTCTTTAAAAAAAAAGAAAAAAACAACAACAAAAAAAACATGTTTATGATGGTATACTGAAATTCAGTAATAATAATCGCAGAACTTTCAATACACTAAAATTGCACAAAATGTAAGCGAGATCACATTTTTCCCCTAATTTTTTTGATCGACTATCGAAACTGAGCCATGTCCTAAATTGTGGTGTGTTCTTGTCTAAACACTGATTGGAGGTTGTTGAAATGTTGTTTTCTTTTTATGGATTCAGAAGTTTGGGCCACAGATCTGGTGCTACAGACTCCAGAGCCACGTATAATTTTTTCCTTTCTGCCATTGGATCTTACGACTCTTCATAACAACCTAAACTTTCTGCATATTGATATGTTGGTGTCAAAACCTTTTGCCTTGATAATAGAAATCAACAAGCATTTATGTCTTGTTAAATGAAAGAAAACTGTCTATTTTAAAGGCAGAGAGCCCTCAATTCTGTCAGATAAATTATGAAACATAAAGGTAGCTCAGCAAATCTCAATAACCAAAATATAAATAAAAAAAAATTAACCCTTGTTACACTAAACTTCATGCCGTCACAGTCAAACTGTGTTATTTGAAAACTGCCAAAAGCATGATGTATACAAATTATTTATTGTCAGCACAGGTGTTATTATCACAGTAGGCTGGGAGCTTTTTTCACGTCAGCAAAGGATTTGGGTTTTAAAATAGCCAAAATCTGTCGTAAATAACAACAATAAAGCTCAGCAGGTGTTTGCTTTTTCCTCAGCAGTCGAGAACAAACACAGTTCATTATTTTTCCAAAAAGTACAGGTTGCCGTGTGAGTCAGCGAGAACTATGAGGTTTTAATTACTGTGATCACAAACAGAAATGCTAGACTCGGTGTACTTCTGGGGAAAAATGTGTTCTGTTGCAATACAGAACTTACTCATTATTCGTGTATTTTATTCAGATTCATTTTCAAGTAAAATGTTCCCCACTGAGACCTGGAGAGCTTCCCCCTGAAAAGAAGTGAGGGTTATAAATTACTAAGCGACAAAGTGTCACAAAGTAATTCCCGTGATTCTGGTTCCTGTTGTGTTGGGCCCATGCTGTGGTGGTGTATTCAAAATACCGTTGTAATCAGTCACAATGGCCATTTCCTTTCCTCTGAAAAAAAGAAAAAACATCTGGTTTTAAAGCTGCAGAATGAGACTTTTTTTAAAACATATTTGTTAAAATTGTCACTGTGTTGTGAAAGTTTAATATGAGACAGATAATCTGTAAAATGATCAATCTCCTCTGAAGACATGCACCAAAAACAACCAATCAGAGCCAAGACGAGGGTCTTAGCGCTGCCAATCAACTCCGTGTACTTGCTGATAAATGTGTTAATGACAGAGAAAAAAACATTTATCTTACATGAGATCAGAAGATATTCTTGAACGGTACCCTTCACCCAATGCTAACTAGCTTTAGCATTCACTACAGGATTTGCACCCAATGCTAACTAGCTTTAGCATTCCCTACAGGATTTGCACCCAATGCTAACTAGCTTTAGCATTCACTACAGGATTTGCACCCAATGCTAACAAGCTTTAGCATTCCCTACAGCATTTGCACCCAATGCTAACTAGCTTTAGCATTCACTACAGGATCTGCTATCAGGAAAAAGCTACGTTGTAGCAGAGAGAAAGAGGGAAGACGGCCATTTCCATCCCACTCCTACTGGTAGCAAACAAAACCAGTTTTGGTTCAAATAAAGCTGGACCCAGTGTGACAACGTGACCAGTCTCTTTGTTTTGATGTGAAAATCATAAAACTCTCTACTGATGTAACTCTGCATCTACAATGTGACTCTGGCTTGGAAGAGATGTCTCTTTTTTGTTATTTATTTTTCACTAGTGTCTCTTTTGGGATTTGATGTTTGATGGTGGCAGTCACATTTCTTTTATATGTCGGATATTGATGTTTAATGGTGACATTTATTTTTGCCTTTTTGTTTTAAAGTCAAAGTAAAGAGGAAAAAGTGGGAGAAATGTGTAAGATTCTTCTTCCTTAAACGGACTTAACGAGTTAATGATAAAAAGTTTCAAGGGAGAAAAGGTTAAAAACAATCCTCAAAACTAATACCGTTTACATTATTGAAGAGAAATCAATATCTAGTACACCAAGAGCCCAAACAATCTAAATCCCTTGGGCTGTTTGCTGAAGGTTTTATTCAGTTTTATTAAAAATTTCCACGTCTGTTTTCATGTAAAACTTCCTGTACACAGTACTCTCAAACGCTCACTACTTAAAAATTCACACACACACACACACACACACACACACACACACACACACAAAGAAAAACTGGGTCACTGGAAGAAACCAGGCAGGAAGAAGGAATCAGAGAACGAATACCAATGTTTACATTCTTCTACCAGCGATTTCTCCACAATCCCTGAACTGTACTTTTTTCAGATGCATATAAATATATATTTTTTAGCAAAACTACCATGTCTAGAGCATTAATAATGCATAATACATTTGCATGATAAATGTTGTTTTCCTTTCATCCTTTCACCTTTTTCAGAACTTGGACTGAACTTTTAGAATAACTCCAAAGCTGTTTAACAGGTTTGATGCCAGATCAGATCATAATGTCTTTATGTGACCGGTAACCTGTTAGCTATTAAAAAAGTGGTCAAAATCTTGAAAATATCAAGAACAGTTTAGGGATTTTAGCTTGGAATATTAGAATTAGAATGAGAATTAAAATTTTCAAATTTAGTTTCAAAGTTCTTGGTGCAAAAAGAAGAAATATAACATTTTATTGTTCACCCAGAGATTGTATGGAGGCAGATATTTTTTGCAAAAAACAGAGAAATGTATGAGATTAGAATATATTCTGTGTTTATACTTAATCAAATAGACAACAACCAGATAAACTTGCTGTAGCTGTG